TGTAATTCACCAAGAAGGCTCATAGCTTGCTTTAAAAGAAAAGAGAGAGAGAGAGAACAGGGTTTTCAAATTTTGAAATGGAGATTTGGTCTCAATATCATTGAGTTAGCATATGTATATGCTGTTTGAAGTACCTTTCTCAGGTAAAAGATTTGGGAAAAGGATGTTCATGAGAAGTACACATTTCATTGAATATTCCGCCTGTTTTAATTAATTTTATCACCTGAAAATCGAGAGGAGGGATATTATGCGAGTAATTTAATTTCTGTTGAATGCAGTTACAGGAGGAACATGACAAATGAAATAAATTGAATAGACTACTGGTAACTAAGACAATTATTTGCTTAAAAGAAACCTGGGCTGATCTTTACTGTACAGTACCCCGTGGTTTCTGTCTGAAAACATCAGCAAGTGGTACTAGAAACTGGAAGCCAGCTGCGTGAAATAGATTTTTCGGTAAACTTAATGTCGGCGAAACTAGCCTTGGGGAAAATAGTGGTTTTTTAAAGTTTTTGACATTAATAAGGGGTTAATTCTGAAAATATCACCAAATATGTTGTGATTAATTTAGATTCGAGCTATTTTTTGTAATAGTAACCCTTTTGTCTAGTCCCGGGATTGGTTTTCAGTTGCTGTATTTGCTTGCATGTGCGTAGTATGGTCTTGGATTTTGAACTCGCTGTTATTTTGCTGTGGGTACCATCATTTGAGTATGTCTGAGGTGGGTAAATAACAGCGGATGAGCCGAAGCGACCAAAAATTTAATTGAATTGCTTATGTGGAGGATGGAGGAGATGGTGGTAGGGAGCGTGAACGTATGCACATTAAAAAAAGAATGTTAAAATATTGACCTTTCATTTATTTATTCGTCTGTAAGTGTTAATTTTTGTTAAAAGATTTGTTGTTTAATATTTTAATAATAGGTAATATGTATTTTTGGTTATTTATTACTTTCTGTTTGTATATTTTTGGTTATTTGTTTGTCTCTGTGTGTTAAGAGAGCAGCAAATTTTATCTGGTTAACATGATAGTTTTAACTTTGTTTTAGCTTTGTGATTTTGTTTAAGTTAAAATACGTCGATGTGTACATGGACAAAGACAAGGCAGGGCACAATGCGTAGTTTGTGTAATTCTCTGGTGTTTTCTGAAGTTAAAATAGGTTGATGAGTACATGGACAGTGCATTTGTGTAAGTCTTTGACTTCTTGTTTTGGTTTAGTGCAGCGGGCGGAAGGATGGGCACCATCTTGAAATTGGCGCCGATCCTTCCTAGCGGCCGATCTCGGCGTCAAAAAAAAAAAAAAAAAAAAAAAAAAGAGACGATTCGCCAAGGGGTACCGTAGAGTAAGTTTTAACCGAAACCTGCAATCTAATAAAAATATACAGTAATATTAACATTACGGTAGCTGAAGGATACTGAACTGATATCTGATGACATTGAGATGACGTTACATGCCCAAGGGCAAATGAATAAGTCTTGACTGCTGTTCCCAAGACAGACAATGGAGGAACAAAGGAGAATGGGGTTGGGAAAAAGATACGGATTTTTTTTTTTTTTTTCAAAATATCGAACACACCAGCAGTAGCTACAACAATAAGTTGGAATGTAAATAATGGAAGTAAGGTGAAATCACATGTCTGGAAAGTTTCTTTAGTGTGAGAGCACCTACCATATTCCAGTAGTTTAACAAAGAATCTGCACAAAATATGTCTCAAATACTGAATGCAAAGGAAAATAAATTTCTTAAAGGAAAAATAACTATGCACCACAGAGAAAGCAGAAAACTTTGGGAATTTAAAATTTCAGAACCTAGCACTAGAAAGGTAGGGGGAATATGCAAGGAAATACAGTACATCATGAAAGAGAAATGTTATTTTTAAGATAAACTTCATTCCAAATACCTTGTGATTCAGCTAGCACACGACGATTTTCATCAACGGGAACAAATAAGCAATTTATTTAACCCAAATCATATACTATGAAAAATATATGTCTAATATACTAGAAACATGAGTGTTCATTATCAATATATTAGAAACATGATTGTTAAATATCGTGATTACTGTATAATATACTCGAAACATGACTGTTTATTAGATACTTGAATACAGTCAAAAGTTGTTAATCCGAACTCGTCGGGACCTCGGCGATTCCGGATTATCGATTTTTTCGGATTATAGATCATCACTTTAAATCTAGTAAGATGGCATGCAGAAATTATAAAATTAAAAATATGAAACCGTTATATAAAATTAAAATATGAAAAAATTATGATCTAAAGGGTATCAAAATTTACAAAAAAAAAAAAAAATAAAAGCTTAATATATTTGTTTACTTTATTAAACATTTCTGTCAATATAAGTTGTTTAAGTTGCTTCGTTTTATGTGCTAATATTTTCTCTTTAATTCTATAAACAGACATAATTTCTTGTTCAGTTACAAAATTCCGCTGTTCAAGTCCTATAATTGCTGTGTCGAGAATACCGACTAATTTGACAATCGAAATTATTTTCAATAACCTCTGTGTCACTTTCTTCATTATCGGAAGCAAATTATAATGATGAGGAATTTGATTTAAAATCATAGCATATATATAAGACGGAATACATCGAGATGAAATACTACCTTTAGTAAGGAATTATAAGCCAAATAAAATGAAAACATCTGCCCTGAAGATAAGGATAGTGCTGACAGATCTACTTCCAATTCATTGCGTGCCGTGGCGTTCTCTCCCCCCCCCCCGCCGCAGAGCAGCGTGAAATTGATAAACAGATTTCGAAATGGTTAGGTCATTTTTTGCAGCAATTTCACTTTTGTTTAATGGACATCGAAACATACTTTCGCTTTGTAGATCCTTTACATATTAGTAAATATATATAAATACAGAACAATTATGATCTAAAGGGTATCAAAATTTACAAAAAAAAAAGCTTAATATTTATTTGTTTACTTTACTTTCTTCGCTATCAGAAGCGAATTATAATGACGAGGAATGTGATTTAAATCATATCAAAGACGGAGTCCATCGAGATGAAATACATTTAGTAAGGAATTATTAGCCAAATAAGATAAAAACATCTGCCCTGAAGATAAGGATAGTGCTGACAGATCAACTTCTAATTCATTGCGCGCTGCGGCGTCCCCCCGCCGCAGAGCAGAGTGAAATTGATAAACAGATTTCGGAATGGTTAGATAAACAAAGGATATGCCTTTATCTATTTTTTGCAGCAATTCCACTTTTTGTTTGATGGACTTCGAAACATACTAGCGCTTTGTAGATCCTTTACATATTACTAAATATGTATAAAAAATTCTATTTGACATAATCGAAAGTTCAAGCTTACTTTTATAAAATTGCTCTAACAGTCTGCAAAAAATAGTGAGCCGGATCCAATTCGAAGATTAAGGAACAACGCAATCTGCAACATTAACTGAATTAGATAATTTTAGCTTAGCTTATACCATCTGTTATACATTAAACCCACATGCGTAAAAGTATTTTGCGCATGCGCACACGCATATTCGCAGCCGTAAAGGTCTTACGTGCATGCGTCAACGTTGTAGCTTTGAGGTCCGGATTATAGATCATTCCTGATTATGGGTGTCCGAATTAACGAATTTTGACTGTGCAGTACAAAGTCCGAATCCGGACTCGTCGGGGCTTCGGCGATTCCGGATTTGGGGGGTTTTCCGGTTTATAGATCATAAATTTAAATCTGTTAAGATGGCATACAGAAATTACACAATTAAAAATATGAAACCGTAATTTATGAAATAAAGAGCAATTATGATCTAAAGGGTATCAAAATTTACAAAAAAAAAAAAAAAAAAGAGCTTAATATTTATTTACTTTCTTGTAATGTAAGTTGTTTAAGTTGCTTCGTTTTATGTGCTAATGCTTTCTCTTTAATTCTATAAACAGACATAATTTCTTGTTCAGTTACAAAGTTCCGCTGTTCAAGTCCTGTAATCGCTCTGTTGAGAATACAGACTAACTTGTCAATTGAAATTTTTTCATTTTCAATAACCTCTCTGTTACTTTCTTCATTATCGGAAGCAGTACATCGAAATATGCTTTCGCTTTGTAGATCCTTTAGCAGCTCCAGAACCGGAACTCTTTTTTTTACATAATTGAAAGTTCAAGCTTGCTTTTTATAAAATTGCTCTAACAGTCTGCAAAAAATAATAAGCCGGATCCAATTAGAAGATTAAGGAACAATGCAATCTGCAACATTAACTGAAATAGATAGTTAGATAATTTTAGCCTAGCTTATACAGTCCGTTATACATTAAACGTGCATGCGTAAATGCATATGCACATGCATAAAGGTATTATGCATTTACGCATATGCAGAAAGTTTGTAGCTTTGAGGTCCGGGTTATAGATCATTACGGATTATGGACGTCCGGATTAAAGATTTTGTACTGTATACCAAAAAATAATAAAAGTTTTAATGAAAGCCAAGTTACTCACATCATTTTATACAAAAACAACTTTACATTAAAAATAAATTATCACAGGCATATAGTAAAAGTGGGACAGGAAAAAGAGAATGTAACAATTTCCGGATAATGGACGTCCAGATTACGGACTTTGTACTGTATAATAGCAATCACGTTTCTTTCGCGTTTCACCATATGTTTTTTATACTTCAGTTGCTTCAAAAGCAAGTCCTTGCCATACATGGATAAACAAATGTTCTCATTAACCAAATTTTCCCTTTCAAATATATAAGGCTTTTTTGGTAGAATTCTGTTTTTGGTACCATATGAAACTACAGCAAAAATATATGTGCAAAACCACCAAATCTAGCAGGCCAAATTTATTCAAAAATGGTGCATATTAAGTTTGAAAAAAGCCTATTTAATTGTAAATTACTCATAAATTTAGATTTCTCTAAATGCTTGTGAATTTAGACTGCATGCAAATTTACATAGTTCTAGATTTTTAAGTTCCCATTGAAATACACGTTTAATTTAAGAAATTTTTGATAATGCTATGGATCTAACAATTTTTTTATTGCCCAAGACTGAAAAGTCTGCAACAGAATTTTTTCAAAAAGGCATCATTTATGATATGCTCGAAGAACAAGAAGTGAATCTGTGTTTTATTGATGACTTAACAGCAAAATGGCACTACAAGAAAGACTCCTGTAATAAGAAAGAATTAAAAACACAAAATTGGTTTTAAGGATTAAAAAAACTTTACAGACATTAGGTTCATCTAATTTTAGAGTCAAGCGATGATATCTATTGAATTTTATGAACTACAGTATAACACTAGATTGGAAGTTAACAGGCATGAGGTGTGAGTCACATTTAATTTCTCGGCCTATGTTCATAACTGGCACAGGTGACAAAATTATTAAAGAAGACGGAAGCTTTTTCATTGAAGAAAGAACAACACCGAGCATGTTCTTTAGCCACGATGAGTTTTTGGTGGATTGTGCAGAGAATCAACTGAACGTTGTTTTGTTTTTGTTGCTGTTCCAAACTGTGATTGGCAGAAACTTTAATGAAAATGATAAAGATAACTATCATAAAAGCAAGCATTATTTATACTGAATGATAAAAAGCATATAAGTCAGATAAATTACAAAATGCTGGCTTTGAATATTTTACTGTTAACCTAAAGTGAAATTTGTGGACCCCTAAAGTGGATGTCATGCACAAACAGTAGAACAACTGTAGGGTTGTCCTAAATAACACAATAAACACAATCACGGCACTGCTTGACAGTATCTGAGTTCGTATTTTTTCAAACTGATGTGGAGACGTTTACACACAAAATAAATGGAATTTTTCTCCACAAGAGAGAAAATTTTTTATCCCTCATGTTTAATTTCAGTTATGCTTAGCCATTTTAATACTTTTTATGGATTGCACTAAAAAAATGTTGTATATGAGGTTAACCTTTCATCTAAATTAAAATGATATTCTTAAACAGTTGTTTACTATTATGCCCACTTCCTTGCAATAGGATTACCATAATCATTTTCAGCATTACTGATGATTTGTTACAGTCTGAAAATGGAAGTGTACCAGCTTTTTTTATGTATGGGAATGCACTGTGCCTTCCAGTTAGACTTTTGACCAAATTATTCATTACATACCTGACCCATAATGTTTCTCTCCTGTGTGATGATGAACATGGTTGTTTAAATCCCGCTTTCGTCTATATGATTTGTTACATATTTCACACACATGAGGTCTCTCTCCTGTGTGCATAAGCATATGGCTATTTAAAGTACTCTTTCGTCGGAATGACTTATTACATACCTTACACACACAAGGTCTCTCTCCTGTGTGGGTATAAATATGCTTCTTCAATTCACTCTTTTGTCCATATGATTTGTTACATATCTCACATACATAAGGTTTCTCTTCAATGTGAATAAACCTATGCCTATTTAAATCACTTCTTGCTCTAAAAGACTTGTCACATACCTCACACACATAAGATTTCTTTCCTATGTGAATACGCAAATGACTATTTAAAGCATATTTGTATGCAAATGATTTATTACATATCTCACACATATGAGGCTTCTCTCCGGTATGAATAAGTACATGGCTCTTTAAGGTACCCTTTTCTCTAAATGATTTATTACACACCTCACACAAATAAGGTTTTTCTCCTGTGTGAAGAAGCATATGTTTATCTAAAGTAGGCTTTAGTCTAAATGATTTATAACAGACATCACACACATGAGGTTTTTCTCCAGTGTGAAGAAGCATGTGCAAGTTTAATTTACTTTTTTCTCTAAATGACTTATTGCATACCTCACACACATGGGGTTTTTCTTCTGTGTGGATAAGCATATGAATGTTTAATTTACTCTTTCCTCTGAATGACTTATTACAAATCTCACACATGTAAGGTTTTTCTCCTGTGTGAAAAAATAAATGGCTATTTAGAGTATGCTTTAGTTTAAATGATTTGTTACATATCTCACACACATGAGGCCTTTCTCCTGTGTGAATAAACATATGTGTATTTAAAAAACACTTCATTCTAAATGATTTGAAACAGATGTCACATACATGAGGTTTTTCTCCTGTATGAACAAGCATATGCATATTTAATTTATCCTTTTCTATAAATGACTTATTACACACCTCGCACACATGAGGTTTCTGTCCTGTGTGAATAAGCACATGCCTCTTTAAATCACGCTTTCGGCTGTATGATTTGTTGCATATTTCACACACGCCAGATTTCTCTCGGACACTGTTTAAAACACTAATGTGTTGAATGACTCCTTATGTACCTCAGATACAAAAGATTTTTCTTCGTTGTCGATAAGCATATGCATGTTTAAATTACTGTTTTTTCTAAATAATTTCATAGATACATGTCATTTCTCTTCTGTGTCAAAATAACACTTTTTAATCACTTTTATTCTATTTTGAATATGCATATGTCTTCAAACATTTAAAGTAGATATGCATATCGCAGAAGCATACACATAAAGTTTTTTCATCAAGTATTTGTCATAAGTATCCTTTCTTCTAAATGACTTGCTATACAAATGATAATTATGCTATATGCAAAGGATATACATGTGAAGAAGCTTAAAAGAGGAGATAAAAGTTTACTCTTTTTTTTTTTTTTTTTCTCAGTGAGTTGTAACTATTTTGTTTGTTGTCTGCATTAGTAAGCATTTGTTACATGTACACTCTCTTCTGATGTAAACAAATCCGAAATTTTGCTAAGTGTTGGTTAGGGAAACATCCCCCCTTATCACATATGCCACAGATATAAGATTTCTTTATTGAGTGAAAAAGTATATGCACATTCAAGTTGCTTTCTTTCTAAATGACATGTTACTTAGCACACACATATCTGTATGAGTAAGTATATGGAATTTTCAACTTTCCTTTTTTATGAGCCACTACATATTTCACTCACATAAGGTTTTATGTTTGCATTAAGAAGGTCTATAAACAGGCTTATTTGATGTAACGTGTTATATATGACACAATTACATGTGTCCCACATGAGTTCAAATGGAGTTGGTGAAATTAAAAAATTTATCCAAATTTAATTTTAGATATTTCACACTTAATAGATTTTCCTTTCCTATACAGGCCAATTTTTGTTAAAATATGAAAAGTTCACTTCGACCTTAAAGAAAACTTCCATACTTTTCACAAATACGAACTATTGCCTGAGTATATTTACAGTTTTTATACATGCATTTATGCAGTGATTTAGTATATGAGCTAGCCTATGTGAAATTTTGACGATAATAGCAAGTGTTCCATAGCGCTCATTAATTTTACGTTACTTCTTCATATTAAGTCTACACAAGCTCTGTTCATTCAGTTCATAACTATTAAATGATTTTCAAGCAGTTGCCCATGTTATAATACACTATTTTCAATATGCACGTACTTCAGTTTTTTTAAGTAGGTGTCATAGATATCGTCAACAGTATGTTTACCGGCTGCAAGAAAACACAGACACACAAAGTAGACAGATGTCTTGTTTTGCACCCGCTAAGTCTTTCTGCACCGATGGGCGAAAAACCAAGCATAGGTGCGAAGGAAAGGTATATAAAAAGAGGGGCAATTTCGTATTTGAGGAGAGTAAAAAGGAACTTCGTATATTTTGTAGGAGTTCAAAAGGCCAGAAAGAAAAGATCGGACAAAATAAAATTTAAAATAAATGGCCCAAAAATAATAGAGGGGGAAAAAAGGGGCCTATAGAAAGAAAAGGAAAAGAAGTAGAAAATATCCTAAAATACGAATGTGTCCATGAGTGTAGTTAAGGAGTTCATCTGCAAAAATTAGTGTCTGTAAGAAACAAACTTTAGCTAAGTTTAATAAAAAAATAAATGAATAAAATCCTACATGGTAATGTGTATGCCCTTATCTTGAGACCTAACAAGAAAAGACATATATCATCACAGAGATGTACATAATATTTTAACTAAAGTAACATTAAATATTACCGTTCCCAAAAAATTCATGTATATTTCAGAAAAACAGTAATTGACAAAATCATAAATCCATACACAGTGTGAGAGCATTTCAGCAAAAATAAATTATACAGTTTATTTTTCTTAAATATTAGTTAAATATAAAATTAATTTATTAATTTAACCGTTGTAATTTATTATAGTACAAGTTTAACAAATTCCGTCACACTGTATTTTTATTTGCTCATAATTCTAAGTTAGAGACCTGAAAAAAAAAAAAAAAAAAAAAAAGTCGGAGATCTTAGTTACAAAAATCACAATCTATACTCATCGATGGTCAAGAGATCCCCATTTTTCCCTCTCAAGAAATTCCTAAGCACGAAAAGGGGGGGGCCTCCGAAGGGTGTGAGTTGCTGATAAGAACGGACTACTGATAAGGAATGTGGCGTCTCTACGGAATAGTTACGAAGAAAAGAAACACATGACCTGCTACTATTACCAACTATTGTATAATGCTAGAATCTTATGAAAAATAATAAATAAAGAATGAATTTAATGGCACTCTAGTGATAGAGAAACAGATATTGTATAGAGAACAGAATGCTACTTATCTGAATATTCCGTGTCAGGGCTTCTTTTGGATTTCTCGTGTTGATAGTGAACAGCTAACAAAACACCTGAAGTTTCGAAGAAGCGAAGTTTCCTTTTTCAATTTGATGAATGAGACATTGCATAGGAAAAGTGCATTAAACTTTTTTAGAGAGTTGAAAACATTTACGTAAACATTTATTTAAAAAATTTCGGAGCTATGTTTAGACACTGCCTCCAGCTTTCGTGATCGCAGCGGTCACATAAGGTCGCAGGAAAACACAGTTAGACAGACAGACAGACAAAGTAGACAGATGTCTTGTTTTGCAACCGCTAAGTCTTTCTGCACCGATGGGCGAAAAATCAAGCATAGGTGCGAAGGAAAAGTATATAGAAAGAGGGGCAATTTCGTATTTGAAGAGAGTAAAAAGGAACTTCGTACATCTTGTACGAGTTCAAAAGGCCAGGAAGAAAAGATGGGACAAAATAAAATTTAAAATAAATGGCCCAAAAATAATAGAGGTAAAAAAAAAGGGCCTATAGAAAGAAAAGGAAAAGAAGTAGAAAATATCCTAAAATACGATTGTGTCCATGAGTGTAGTCAAAAGGAGAAGAAGCTGTCTTCATTTACAATGAATAGTGTCTCACAGGTGTGTGTGTGTGTAGTGAGTGTGTTTGGTAATGGTGAATAGATGTGTTACTGGGGAAAAAACAAATATTGACGGTGTTAAAATGCTTCGTATCAAGGTATTTAGCATGGAATATAAAGTAATATGTATGCCTTGCATCCTGAGATATCAACAAAGTCATCAAACAAAAGTATATATTAATTTAACCAAAGTAACTTATGCTACTTTTCATTTTCACCAACATTTTCATACATTTTTCAAAAAACAGCAGCAGACTAACAACATAGAACCATATACCCCCAATACAAGACCAAAACCGCACACACACACAAAAAAAATATATAAATAACAAATAATAATATATATATATGTGTGTGTGTGTGTAAATTACTGAGTATATGTATTAAAAACACAAATTAAACAGTATTTATTAATTTAACTATCATAATTTATTACAAGATTAATTATTTTACTATCATAATTTATTACTAGTTAATTAATGTTAGTATAACACAATGAGGCACACTGTTATTTATATAAGCTCATAGTTCTAAAAATTCATTTAAGGCGGTGAAGAATAAACCATCCCTTACATATGGACATTTAACAGATAGCAAAGAACAGTATGAGAAAAAAAAAAGAAAAATCGGTGATGGTATAATATTATTTAAAGGCGAAAACTATATTCAAGCGATCTAAAAAGAAACGAGAATACCAGAAGATCCGAGAGGGAACTATAACGCGATGCCCCAAATCCCCAATTTTCCCTCTCTCGAGATTCCTCAAAACAAGATAAGGGGGAGCTTTGTAAGTGTGGTGACAGACGTGAACTGATAACGTTGGCGTCTGTTTGGAGTTGATACACAAAGGAAGCCACAAGCAATGGCAATTTCAAGTATTTTTTAATGCTTTAAACTGATGAAAAATTAAGATTTATTGATTTAAAGGCACTTATTTATAGAAATTTTATTTAGTTTAGATGAAAGAAAAGTACTTATCTTAAAATTCCAGGCTTTTGGAGTATATCCTTACATTGTCCGCTGTTTTATTCTCGTCAACATCGGAGCCGAAATTCATTGGAATGATATAGGTGTTGTAGAAAAAAAAAAAAAAAAACATTTTTCAAAGTAATTTAATTGATAATCACCAAGAGGAAAGGAAATTTTTTCACATTTTTACGGAGCGCCGCGATCGTGCTGCCGCTTGCCTCGGTGATCGCAGACCTCGCAGGAAAACACACAGACAGACAGACAAAGTAGGCAGATGTCTTTTGTTGCACCCGCTAAGTCTTTCTGCACCGATGGGCGAAAAATCAAACATAGGTGCGAAGGAAAGGTATATAGAAAGGGGGGCAATTTCGTATTTCAGAGGAGAGTAAAAAGGAACTTCGTATATTTTATACGAGTTCGAAAGGCCAGGAAGAAAAGATGGGACAAAATAAAGTAAAAAATAAATGGCCCAAAAGTAATTGAGAGGGAAAAAATTTTTTTTTATTTATAATTAAAAAAAGGGCCTATAGAAAGGAAAGGAAAGGAAGTAAGAAAATTTTGTAAAAAAAAGAAAAAAAACACGATTGTGTCCATGAGTGTAGTCAAAGGAATTTGTTATCATTTACATTAAATAGAGTCTTCCAGGTGTGTGTAATGAGTGTGTTTTGTAAAGCTGAATAGATGTGAAGATGGGGGAAAATTAATAATAAAATATAAATATTGGGGATCCAGTCACGTAACAGTCTACTTTAGAAGCTAACTTTTTCTATAACAGGGAAACTAAAATTAAAAAAAATTTTTAAATTAAACTTTTATTTTTAACATGGGAAACAATATGTTAGCCTCTACCTTGAGACACAGTAGCAGAAGACACATAAGATCAAGATGCATGTAATATCATGCAAAATTATACATTAACTTAAGTAACATCATCAATTGCGGTTTCCAACGTATTCATATACTCAGAAAACAACACCAGATAAAATCATAAATCTAAAACAAGGCGAGAACATATCAGCAAAAATAAATAAGTAAATAAATTACGGAGTTTTTTTTATTAATTAATTATTTTTTTTTAAATATTTTATTTATTTATTAAGTTAATGGTCATAATTTATTATATGTGTACTATTTTTATCAATTTGAGGCACACTGTATTAATTATATGCTTTTAATTTAAATAGATAGGAAATATCTTAGATTAAACCCAAAATCTACAAACTCTATACATTCATTGAGGCTCGAGATCGTGTTTTTCCCTCTCGAGAAATTCCTCAAAGGGGCCCCAATGGGTAGTGCTAACACTACTGATAAGGATAGCGTCCCTACGAGATAAAAAAGAACCACATTATTTAAAGCAATTACTAAGTATTTAATGCCAGAACATAATAAAATGAGAATAATAATAATAATGATCATAATAAATAAATGAATTTAAAGGTACTTTAGTGACAGATATTTGATTTAGCTTAGAGAAAAGAAGTTGTACTTATCTGAACGCTCCATCTTAGTGCTGGAAAAGATTGCAAGAAAGACAAGACCCCCAGGTACAGGAGAACTCCCGGCTTTGAGAACGAGACAATGCAGAGGATATTCGCGAAAATTTTCTTAAATAAATGAAGATTTTCCGGAAAACACCTTTGAAAATTCAGGAGCTCTTCCAATATCCTGCCTCCATCCTACGTGATCACAGCGCCCCCTTTTTTTTCATATTTTTTTTTCGATAAATACACTCACGACGTCGCTTTTTTCAGATGGCCCAGCCCAGACTTTCCTTTCCTAATCGATGACGAATATCTGATATGCTTTGCACTTTGTAATCGATTACGAAGTCTCGATACTGTGTTTACGTTTTATGCGGAATTGTGGTGAGGTATATAGAAAATGTTGAGGAATTAATAAGGGCCGCTCTTCGTATTTATTTTTTTTCCTTGCTGTATACGAGACTGGATGCAATGCTAATAAATCTCTATGCTACAGTCAATTATTTCCATCATTCGAATTAATTCATCGTGAGAACTTTAAAAGTCTTAATAAACAGAAACTTTACTCATATTTCTGATACAAAAGTATTGATATGCTTTGTTCAGTTCTCTTGTTAATAAAAAACAGCATTTAATTGTATGTGACAACGTAAAAAATAGTGAAAATTTATATATGTCTGTATTGTTGCCTAAGTATAATAGCAGATAAAAAAGGGAATGTACGATGAAGTAATAAACATATTCAAAGAATCTAGAATTAATTAGTTATATTATTAGTGACATAGTATATTATTATAGTGAGTTTCTTTTTTTTTTTTAATTTTCAAATTTCTTTTTTTATTTCCTCCAAACAGCAGAGATGCGT